TGAACCAAGGCTGCCCAGCTCCAAAGCCCATCCTTTTAACCATTATGCTATAGTGCCTACATGCATGGCCATATCCCTTATTTACATATCTTTCTGCAACTTCTTTTCCACTCATAATCATGTTTTTGAGATCTATCCATGTTGATATCTGTAGTTTTAGTTCTATCATTTGAACTGCTATTAACATTACGAAAAAGAATGAAATCCTGCTATTTGCAAGATGGACGGAAGTGGAGAACGTTAAGTGAAATAAGCCAAGCACAGAATGACAAATCTCGCATGTTCTCACTCATATGTAGGAGCTGAGTATTAAAAACAATTGATCTCATGGATACAGAGAGCAGAATGACAGTTGGGAAGGGTAGTGGGAGGAGGAGGGTATAAAGTGGGGATGGATAATAGGTGCAAGAATATAGGTAGAGAGTTAGAATGAACAATATTTGATAGCACAGCAAGGTGATTGTACTCAACAATAAGTTAGAGTAGACTTTAAAATAACTAAAAGAGTGGTATTGGAATGTTCCTAACACAAAGAAATGATAAATGCCTGAGGTGATGGATACCCCAATTACCCGGATTTGATTAATTCACATTGTATGCCTATATCAAAACATCATATGTACCCTGTAAAGATATATAACTATTATGTACCCATAATAATTAAAAATAAAAACATTTTAAAAAGCATTCAGATTAAGACTTACCATATTTTATTTATTTATTCTCCTATTAATGGACATTAGGTTTATTTATTTAACAAAGTTTTTTTTATAGCTCTTACAATGTCCTAGGAACTGTTCTAAGTGTTTTATAAATTTTCATTATTTCAAACAGTGTTTCCATGCAATATGTTCTCTGTGACTGAGTGTAAGAATTTGTCTCAAATGGAATCTTTTATTTCCATCTGATTTTTGATTTAAAAAAATTTTAGTTAAAATTAATAATTATTAATTAAGGAGGTACAATTGTTTTTGTTACATAGATAGTTTGTATAATGCTTAAGTCAGGGCTCTTGGTGTACCTGTCACCAGAAATAGTGTTCACTGGACCCACGGTTTTTTTTTGGTTTTTTTTTTGAGACAGAGTCTCGCTTGTTGCCCAGGCTAGAGTGAGTGCCATGGCGTCAGCCTAGCTCACAGCAACCTCAAACTCCTGGGCTCAAGCAATCTTCCTACCTCAGCCTCCCAAGTAGCTGGGACCACAGGCATGCAAAGTAAGATTTAAGAGTAAGATTTTCACAAGCAGAAATGAGAGGAAAAGTTCCTGGAAAGCTCTGAGACTTACTTTGCTAATCTCCCCAAAAGTCATATGTTGAAGTCCCAACTACAAGTACCTCTGAATGGAACCATATTTGGAGATAGAGCCTTTGAAGAGGTAAGTGAACTTAAATGAGATCAGAGTGGCCCTAATTCAATGTGACTGATGTCCTGATGGGAAGAGGACACTGGGGCTCAGACACACACAGAGAGAAGGCCACGTGGAGAAGGCGCCATCTGCAAGTCAAGGGGGAGGCCTCAGAAGGATCCAACCTTGAGATCAAGACCTTGATCTCAGACGTCCAGTCTCCAGAACTGGGAGAGAATAAATTTCTTTTGTTGAAGCCACCGACACAATCTAATGTACAAACTAAAATGCTTCCGGGGCCAGCAGGCAGCATGTGCTTCATGTGTACGAAGCACATGGCCAGTCCCAGAGTATGGAAGGACCTAGAATAGCTGGAGAGTGCAGACTCCAGTTAATGCAGCAGGTCCAGAGACAATTTTCACTGTCATCATGGGTGAGGGGGTGCCACTGGCATCTAGTTCATAGAGGCCAGGGATGCTGCCAAACATCCTACAGTGCACAGGACAGCCCCAACCAGTCCCAAATTGTCAAGATGGAGAAATTCCTGATTTACAGGAAGTAACATTGTCATGATGTCTCTGATTCAGCATCAGGCCTTGATTTTGTGATTCTTAAACCAGGGTTTAAATGCAGGAGTGGCTGGATCTGATTCATATTTTTAAAAATTTGCCCTGCTGCCACAAGGAGAAGAAAGTAGAGAGGGGAAAAGACTGGAAGACACACAATGCAGTTACCACCCCATTGGGAGAGAAATGAGGCAGTGGGGATGGTGAGGAGGTATCTGTATGTTCAATAACACATATTCAGGCTGGGTGCAGTGGCTCACACCTGTAATCCTTGCACTTTGGAAGGCCAAGGTGGGAGGACTGCTTGAGGCCAGGAGTTCTCGACCAGCCTGAGCAAGAGCAGGTCCCCAAGCCAGGTGTGATGGCACATACCTGTAGTCCCAGCTACTTGGGAGGCTGAGGCAGGAGGACTGGAGTCCAGGAGTCTAAGGCTGCAGTGAGTTATGATCATGCCACTGCACTCGAGCCTGGGTCACAGAGTGAGACCCTGTCTCTAAAAAAAATAAATAAATAAGTAAGTAAAGTCTATTTGAGCGGAGCAAACATTGACACACAGGCTTGACATACTTCTGAAAATGATTCAAAAACACATAGGGACATTCATGAACTCATCTGGATTTACTGAATGCCTATGCTGTGCCAAGCACAGCACTAAGCACTGGGGGCACAGCGCTAGGCCCCCACCCCTCTGGAGCTCACATCTGGTCAGACAGACTATAAATAAATTCACCAAATAAATAAATATGACAATTTCAATGAGTGCTAAATGCTATGAGGGAAATAAAAGAGGGATGGGATAGACAGGGACCACAAGGCAGACGCTGCTGGCTTATGGGGTGGTCACAAAAGGAGACTCCAAGGAGGTGTCATTTGAATGGAATCCTGAGGATGGGAAAGAGCCAGTCATGCACTGAGCAGAGGGAACAGCATTCCAGGCAGAGGGAACAGCCAGTACAAAGGCCCCAAGGTGGGAGTGAGATTGGCCTGGTGAGTAATAGGAAGGAGGACAATGTGGCTGGAGTGTGGGGTACAAGGGGGAGAGTAGTAGGAAGTGAAGCTGGAGGAGGGGTGCAGGGACTAATCATTTTGCCCATAGGAAGGAATTGGGCTTTTATTCTAAGAGCATTTGTAGTGTTTAGGCAGGAGACCAAGGCAATATCACTTGGGTATTTTGTTTGTTTTACAGAGTTTCACTATGTTGCCCAGGCTGGAATCCAACGGCTATTCACAGGTGCAATCATGGTGAACTGCTGTCTTGAACTCCTTGGCTCGAGTGATCCTCCCACCTTAGTCTGGGACTACAGGCTTGTACCACTGTGCCTGGCTCTTCATACATTAATGGCAAAATGGTGCAGCCACTGTGGAAAATAGTTTGGTGATTCCTCAAAAAGCTAAACAGTATTGTCCCACGATCCAGCAATTTCACTCCTAGGTATATACCAACATGAATTGAAAACAGAGACTCAAATAGATTTTTGTAAGACAATGTTCATTGCAGCATTATTCGCAATAGTCAAAAGGTAGAAACAACCCAAGGGGCCATCAACAGGTGAGTGGATAAACAAAATATTGCATATACATGTGATGCAACATATTCAGCCATAATGAAGTTTTGATAAATACTACAACGTGGATGAACCTTGAAAACCTTATGCTAAGTGAACTAGGCCAGACACAAAAGGACAAATATTGTATAATTTCACTTAGCTAAAATATCTCGAATAGGTCACTTCATAAAGACAGGAAGTCGATTAGAGGTTCCCAAGGGCTGGGGGGAGAATGGGATGGGGGAGTTACTGCTTAATGATTACACAGTTTCTGTTTGGGGTGATGAAACAGGTTTGAAAACAAATAGTGGTGAAGGTTGCACAATATTGTGAGTGTAATTATTATTTAATTGTACACTTAAAAATGAATAAAATCGTCAAATGAAAAAAAGACAACTGAAGCTACTTTTGTGGTACAGCTACAACTCTGTTGGAAGTAGAAAGTGCTGTTATGGAAGGGGCAAACAGCTATGAAGGATAAATAGTCTTGAGTGACATCATATGCGAGGTGATGTTTTGGGAAAAGTTGCCCAGAGGAGGTAGGTAATTGTGAGAAAGTAAGATTTAAGAGTAAGATTTTCACAAGCAGAAATGAGAGGAAAAGTTCCTGGAAAGCTCTGAGACTTACTTTGCTAAGAAACCAGGAGCCATTGCCTGGGTTATACTCTTGGCTCTGTTAGGAACTGGCTCTGTGACCTCAGGACCCCTCTGTGCCTCAGTCTCCTTTGTAAAACCGCAGTGACAATGATACCTCCAGCCTAAGGTTGCTGTCAGGATTAGTCAATGCATGTAAAAGCACTTAGATTAGTACTGGCACATAGTAAATGTTACATAAGAGTCAGTCTTATGCTTGTTGAATTTTCTTCTTTTTTATGAAAGTAAACGTATTTTTTTTTTTGAGACAGTCTCACTTTGTTGCCCAGGCTAGAGTGAGTGCCATGGCATCAGCCTAGCTCACAGCAACCTCAAACTCCTGGGCTCAAGCGATCCTCCTGCCTCAGCCTCCTGAGTAGCTGGGACTACAGGCATGCGCCACCATGCCCGGGTAATTTTTTGTATATATATTTTTAGTTGGTAAATTAATTTCTTTCTATTTTTAGTAGAGACGGGGTCTTGCTCTTGCTCAGGCTGGTTTCCAACTCCTGACCTCGAGCAATCCGCCTGCCTCGGCCTCCCAGAGTGCTAGGATTACAGGCGTGAGCCACCGCGCCCTGCCAGTAAATGTTTATTGTAGAAAAAATACTAAGAAATTAAAAGTCACTTATAATTTTACCACCCAGGAACAATCACTGCTAACCGCTTGTTGTATTTGCTCCCACAATTTTTTGCACATGAATATGCACATATAGAGCTTATCCCTGCACCTCTTCAGACTTCCTCCCTCACCCCGCGCGCCCTCCTCAAAGATTCCGTCTTCTTCCTGACCACCGAGACAATGGAATTTGCTTAATTAAAACAAAGCCCCGCCCGTGACGTCATCACGCGAAACCACGCCCCAGATTGCTGAAAGCGCATTCTAAGCGGTCGAAAGGGGGAGGGCGCAGGGACCGCTCAAACGGAAGTGAAGCGTGGCACATGCGCAGTGACGACGAGGAGCTTGCGAAAAAGTAAGGGCCGGGCGGCCAGCTGCGCTCGCTTCCGGAAGTGGCTCCTGAGACAGCATGCTTGCGGAGCTCGGTTTAATCGGGACCATTGGCGAAGATGACGAGGTGCCAGTGGAGCCCGAGTCTGACTCCGCAGACGAGGAGGAGGTACGAGCCGATCGGGGGTGGGGGCATGGCTGCCGCCCCTTGGAGTTCCTGGACAACTACCTGTCCCCTTGACTACGCAGACCCTTGTCCCCGAATCTTCAGCTGCCCCCGCCAGGCCGGGCGCTTTCCCGAGAAGGGTCTCATTGAGACCCCGAGATCTTCCCCAGTTTGCTCACCGCTCTCTTTCCCCCACCTCCACGCCTTTGCCCGTGTCATTTCTTTCGCCTTGCTGAACTCAGTATCCATTCACTGACCTGCGTGAGAGAGACCATAGAGATCACAGGTGAGCCCTGGTTCCTGCCCAAGGAGCCGTGGTTATCCATCACTCATGTGTTCAGCGAGGCAGTGTTTATTGGACACTTAACGTGGGCTAGCCTTAGTGTTAAGCGTTGGGGACGTAGCAACGAATAAGATGGGCGCCACTCTCAGCTCATGGTGGCATGGGGGGGGCGGGTTTACAGACGTGACATTACCGCAGTTAAAAAGGGATCAGTGTCGCGAAAACAGTGCTTGCCCTTCAAAGATTCAACCCCGATGAATTCAGATTCAAAGATTCAGCCCCTCTGTACTCTCATCTGCCTGTTCGACACATCCATTTGGATGTCCCATGGCCTCTACAAATTCAACTCTTCCAAAACTGAACTTGTGGTCTCCCTCACCTTCCCATCCTGTTTCTGTCTCAAGCCAGAACCCTTGGGGTCATTCTTGACAGCTTCTTTCTCCTCACCCCCTCCAGGGCTCTGCAAGCTAGCTCGTGAATCCCAGGCTTCTCCCTCCTCTCCATTCACACTGTACCCACCCTAGTACAGTCTGCTGCCATCTTGTGCATGGACACCTGCAGTCCAGAGTTTCTTTCCTCTCAGCCCCATAGTCACTCTGCCTCTCCCTCTTCCCAGGAGCCCATCGTGCTGGGCAAAAAGCAGAAAGCCTTGCAGAAGAACCGCAGTGCTGATTTCAACCCAGACTTTGTTTTCACTGAGAAAGAGGGGATGTATGATGGCAGTTGGGCGCTCGCTGATGTCATGAGCCAGCTCAAGAAGAAGGTGAGACTGACAGTGATGGAAAGTTCCAGACCTTGGGTGTAAAGGTTGGACTGTGGGCTTCAGGGACTACCCCTGACCTCGCTGCCTTTTACCTTCTGCTTACACTCAGCAGATGCTGGAACCTCTTTGCAAATAGGTAGTATAGTTTTGGGGGGGTGGAAAGAGGGGGTTACAGATGACTCATAGTCTTGATTAACACCAAAGTATAAACTGTTGTAAAATAGATTTATTGTAGACTTTAGTTACAAACATATTCATTGATCTATAGATGATATTTAGAAGTATCAAAAATATCTTATTTCCCTCATTATAAAATGTCCATGGCAGCTTTTCCTGGAGGAGGGAATGGTGAGCTAAGACTAATTTCAGTCTTTTTTTTTTTCTTTTGAGACAGAGTCTCACTTTGTTGCCCAGGCTAGAGTGAGTGCCGTGGCGTCAGCCTAGCTCACAGCAACCTCAAACTCCTGGGCTCAAGCGATCCTTCTGCCTCAGCCTCCCAAGTAGCTGGGACTACAGGCATGCACCACCATGCCTGGCTAATTTTTTCTATATATATTAGTTGGCCAATTAATTTCTTTGTATTTATAGTAGAGACGGGGTCTTGCTCTTGCTCAGGCTGGTTTCGAACTCCTGACCTCGAGCAATCCGCCTGCCTCGGCCTCCCAGAGTGCTAGGATTACAGGGGTGAGCCACCGCGCCTGGCCCTAATTTCAGTCTTGTATTAGGAAAGACCTTGATTTTATAGACATTAAAATATGAAAAAAAAAAAAAAAAGTCCTAGAGGCAATCTGATGATTCTGGCCCCATGGTTTAGGAACACCAAACAGTACATAAATTCCTTGACACTTATGTGTTAAAGTGGTCTGTTTTTTATTTATTATTTATTTATTTATTTTTTGAGACAGTCTCGCTTTGTTGCCCAGGCTAGAGTGAGTGCCATGGCGTCAGCCTAGCTCACAGCAACCTCAAACTCCTGGGCTCAAGCAATCTTCCTACCTCAGCCTCCCGAGTAGCTGGGACCACAGGCATGCACCACCATGGCCAGCTAATTTTTTGTGTATGTATTTTTTAGTTGGTTAATTAGTTTCTTTCTATTTTTAGTAGAGATGGGGTCTTGCTCTCACTCAGGCTGGTTTCAAACTCCTGACCTTTAGCGATCTACCCGCCTTGGCCTCCCAAGAGTGCTAGGATTACAGGCGTGAGCCACTGCGCCCGGCCAGTGTTCTGTTTTTAGATATACTTCTTGCTCACTCTATTGCCTGGGCTAGAGTGCCATGGCGTCAGCCTAGCTCACAGCAACCTCAAAGTCATGGGCTCAGGTAATCCTTCTGCCTCAGCCTCCCGAGTAGCTGGGACTACAGGCATGTGCCACCATGCCTGGCTAATTTTTTCTATTTTTGGTAGAGACAGGGTCTCGCTCTTGTTCAGGCTGGTCTCGAACTCCTGAGCTCAAGCAATCCTCCTGCCTCGGCCTCCCAGAGTGCTAGGATTACAGGCGTGAGACATTGCACCTGGCCTTCTTGTTTTGAATATTAGAAACAAATCTGTGTTATATGAGTTTGTAACAAAGAATGATTTAGCAGGCAGCCTTCGTAGTGTTTTAAAGCTAGACTCTGCCCCATGGATACTGCTATTCTCCATCACTTGCCACGTGGTCTTACGTGGCAGCATGTCCAGGGTTCCTGGTTCCCACACAGCACAGCCAAAGCTGCCACAAATGCCATTATCCCGTGCTTTCTGTGAATCTGGTTAACAAGCTAGAAGATGCATCAAAATAATTTTCCATTTCATGTACTTCAAAGAGAAATATTGCTTGCTCAGAACAGTTTAATCCCTTTTAATTCTGATGGTCCTTGCTCTGATTTAAATAAATCAGCGTTGCCTTTTCAAGATCATCTTGAGAGGATTTTTTATTTTATATATATTTTTTTTTTTCCAGAGAATGTGAAATAAGTTTTTCTTTTTCAAATTAATTATAAAGTGTTTATTCTCCTGTTCCATGTTTTGATGAAAATTTATTTCAGGTTTATTTAACAGATACTGTATTTGTTGCCAGATCTTGGCACATAGCCTCATGTTATTAATGACTTGGTCTTATGGAGCTTATAGTCTAGCAAGGTAGGAAATAACGAGACAAATAATTGCACAGTGCATTGCATTTGTGGCAAGTGCTGTAGCAGGTCAGTGTGCCTTGAGTGTGCAGGAAGTGCACCTACCATTTACTTACCTTTCTAATGTTTTGCCAATAATCCAGCATTACCTAAATTTGCTCAGATGTTAATATTTTAATTAATTATGTCTGATTGGCAAGGGGAAGGGTTTTTCCAAGTATTATTTACATATAATTCTTGTGTCTCTTAGTAATTCTATGGTTCTAAATAGTAAATACCTTCTAAAATGTGATTGTTTGTGAGCCAGGCATGGTGGCGCACACCTGTAGCCCCAGGTACCTAGAAGACTGAGGCGGAGGCTGGGCAATGTATTAAGACTCTGTCACTTAAAAAAAAGTAAGATGTGGATGTTTGTATTGGCGCTTGGTAATTTAAAATTCCTTCACATAGATCACTAAGAATCTGAATAAAAAAATAAAAAAAAATAAAATAAAAAAATAAAATTCCTTCACAAATAGGCCCGTTACTTAATGCTGAGGGTTTTTTTTGCCATGAATAATCTGTAGATGGAGTAATCTGGCCGAGGACAGACAAGCTTTTTCTATATTAACATTTGAGACCTGACCCTCAGAGAAACCTGGCTTTGTCTCTTTCCCACATGTGTATTTCTTTTTTATCTCTTTGTTTTTATTTGCAGAAGGCAGCCACTACCCTAGATGAGAAGATTGAGAAAGTTCGAAAGAAGAGGAAAACAGAGGTGAGAATGGAAAGCAGTTATTTCTTGTCGCAGTTACCTCCTGAGCTTCACTCCACTCGACCCCACCATTCTCCATAAGCCCTAGCTGGGGTGTGGCTGGTGCGGGCACTCTGCTCTGGGTGCTCGCTGTTAATCTTTGCGAAGGACCCACATGGCGTTCTGTCTGCTTTGTACAGTTGCACATTGCTCTGCTCAGGTTCTGAATTTCCTAAAGTTTACAGTCAGCCTTCTTTATTTTAATTTTTTTCCAGGATAAAGAAGCCAAGTCCCAGGGGTTGGAGAAGGAGAAAGAAGCGAAGGAGGGCTCCGAACCGGAGGAGCAGGGAGACCTTCAAGGGAAAGATGAGAAGGGCTCAGAGGATGAGGAATCAGAGACTGACTACTCATCTGCTGACGAGAGCATCCTCACCAAAGCAGGTGGGCATTACCATGAGGGTGTCATATGGGGACAGGAAGTGGGAGGGTGTCACCTTCATTCTGTAGGAATTCCTCCTTTCTTCTGCACAGTTGATATTTAAGATCGCCTGCCTGTTATGTCGAACTCCCTTCTTTTAGGTTTTCTCTTCTCTTGGGCTTTTGTTCGGGGTATTACACTTTGCAGGCAGTTCGCGCTTTCCCCGTCTCTAGCCCCACACAGCCTCTGGACGCCTCTGACTCAAACCTATTTTGGGTGTCCCACATCAGATGGGTCTAGCCACGGAGTGGGTGCTTAGTAAGTGTTCCTTGCAGAAATGTGGGCTAAAATACTGTAATGTAGCGTAGCGGTTGAGAGCCTGGTTTCTGGACAAGACTCTCCGGGTTTACCTCCTGTCTGACTGTAGGCGAGTTCCTTCACTGCACTGCCACACAGTGTCCTCATCCTGTGAACGAGGCTGGTGGCAGTTGCCCCCTCATAGCTGATGTGTGGGGTGGTGAGCTTGTCATGTAAGCGTTCAGGGCAGCGTCCAGCAGAGTGCAAGTGCTTGGTCAGCCTGAGCCGTGCTCGTCAGCGGTGTTTTTCTCCATAGATACACTCAAAGTAAAGGATCGGAAGAAGAAGAAGAAGAAAGGACAGGTGAGTGTGGGTTTGGAACACGGTATGCAGCTCGTTTTGGCAACCTGGAAGGATTTTAAGGTCATTTGGTTTGTTTGGGCCCTTTTTGCTGACTTCTCATTCTCTTTTGATTTTCTGGCGTAGGAAGCAGGAGGATTTTTTGAAGATGCCTCTGAGTATGATGAAAACCTCTCATTCCAGGACATGAACCTTTCCCGTCCTCTTCTGAAGGTAGTGGTTTCCTTTGGCAACTGTAGGATTATTGCAGTAGCCCCAAACTAGCCTCCCTGGGCTCTGTTGTCCACACAGCTGCCAGAGAACCCCCTTAAACAGTAATTTCTGGCCGGGTGTGGTGGCTCACACCTGTAATCCAACTTTGGGAGGCCAACGTGGGAGGATCACTTGAGACCAGGAGTTTGAGGCTGTAGTGAGATATGATTACACCACTGCACTCCAGCCTGGGTGACAGAACAATGCATTGTCTCTAAAAACAAAACAAAACAAAACAAAACAAAACAAAATAAAAAACCCGACACTTCTGTGTGACTGGTACAGAAAAAGGAAGAAAAAGAAAAAAAGAAAAAAACCCTAAAACAATCATTTCCATTGTGTCCCTCCTCTTCTCCAAGCCCTTCAGTGGCTTCCAGTTTCACTTGGCTTAAAAACTAAAGTCCTTATATTGACCTACAAGACTGTGCCCCTTCTGGTCCCCTCTGATGACATCTGCTAGCACCATTCTGCTCTGGCATGCTGGCCTCCTTGCTGGCCCTCACACAGGTCATGTGTCCTCTTCCTCAGGGCCTTTGCACTTGCTGTTCCCTCTATCTGGTAGACTTTTCTTCCAGGAATCTGTTGGGGTGCTTCCTCACCTCCTTCAGGGTTCAACTCAATATCCCTTGCTCAGTGAGAACTTCCCTGATACCCCTGTTGGGAATTGAACCCGTTCCCTGGCCCCCATGGCTGCTGCATTTTTCTCCATAGCGTCCATATCCACATGGCATGTGTTTGGTTTTGGGTCTGTGTCTTTTCCACCAGATTGTAAGATTCCCGAGGGCAGGGTTTTTATTTCTCTGGCTTACTGCTGTGTCCTCAGTGCCTGCCCAGGTAGTGGGCGCCCAGTAAACGTCTGTGGAATGAATGGGAGGGACTCATACAGTGACCACTTGTCTGGACACCTGCCCTGTTTGTGTTGTACTGAGAACCCTGTCCCCCATCTTTTCTCCTCAGGCCATAACAGCCATGGGCTTCAAGCAGCCCACCCCGATCCAGAAGGCGTGCATACCTGTGGGTCTGTTGGGGAAGGACATCTGTGCCTGTGCAGCCACTGGGACAGGTAAAAAGGACAGGGACTTGGGGCGGGTGGAAGGATGTGAAACCCAGAACAGGGCTCTAAGTTGACTTAAGAAAAGGATAATATTGCTAAAAATGCTTATTTTTTTTAACTATTTGATATGTTTCTAGAAATTCATATTGGATTGGTGGTTTTAATGGCTTTTGAAGACTTTGGGGGCTTAGAGTTGACCAGCTTCCATTCTGTCTTCATAGTAGCAGTTGACAGAATATTTAGTTTCTGCCCTATTTCCCATGGCTGTAGTGGGAGGGAACTATGGGGACAGGGAGGGTCCCCTTTTGCAGGGAGAGGCTGAGAAGAGAGTGCCCAGCACAGCCTAGACTACTTCCCATCCCAGTGTCCAGGAGAGCTGGGGGTTGGGCGGGCAGGGGTGCAGTGTAGACTGGGCCGCTCCATCTCGGCCCCAACACAAAGTTGCCTCTCTGCCTTAGCTCTCTACAACCACAGCGGGGACTGAGGGGAGAGATGGATTGAACAGTCCAGTCCTTAAAATGCTGTGATGAAGACAAAATCAAAACCCTGTCTATTGCCAATACATGGCTTAAAGGAATAGGACAGTCGGCCTCGTTGGCCAGTTCCTGCAGAGCCCAGGAATCCACTTTCCTGTAAACCCGGGTGGGATGGGTCAGTGATCCTCAGTTCTGTCTCACTAGGTCATAAGTGACAAGTGGCAGGAGTGTATGTCCTCAGCCCTGCGGGGGTGATTCTTTGCAGCACTTGGTCCTTTCTCCCAGACCACGTAGCGCGTGGCTGGGGCCCAGCGTGTGCAGCGTTGAATTCTAAAGACGACCTCCCCTTGTTTTGTTGGGCGTTGGCCTCTTTCCATCTTGGGGAAAGAGTGAGAATTGCCACACTTCGCTCGTTCACACGCTGCGGGTGGGAAGTTAAATGATTTCATTTTTTGGAGGCAGTTTGGCAGTAGATAGTCTAACTCTTAAAGGCATTACTGTGAGTTATTCAGTTAACCTATTTAGATTAATTTATGCTGAAGAAATAAAGATGGACTTTTCAGAGGTTGAGAGGGCTGGCTCACTTCTGTATTTGGAGCAAGTGACAAAACCAGGTTTTATGAAATATGATTTGTCATAATTAGCTGCTTTAATGTTTTAAAACATTTCTGGTTTTGAATAGATAATACATGTAATAATTCAAAAATCAAATACTTTAGAAAAGTGTACAGTAAAAAAAGTTCCCCATCTGCCTGGTTCCCTCTCCCTACCCAGCCACTTTGTTAGTGTCTTTGGGACCCTCTAAGTTTGGCCCCTCATAGGAATAAAATTTTATAAAAGGGGTGTTCATCACTGCATTGTATATTAGTGAAAAACAACTGAAACGTCCAACCATAGAGATCAGTTAATTCTATAATAGAAATAGTAATGTACTAGAATACTATGCAACCATTTTAAAAAAGGGAAGAGAGTTTAAAGAAATGGAAAAATATATATTCTCAAGTTTTTGAAAAAGGGAAGATACAAAACTAAAATTTATTTTTTATATTTCTGTCTGTAAATAAAAAGATTGGTAATATAGATACCATTATGTTAATAATGTTTCTTTCTGGTTGACTGGATTATGGGTGATTTTTATTATTTTCATGCTTTTTTGTATTTCTGAGAGATTTTTACACTGCCTACCTGATTCAAGAGCATAAAAATAGTTCTATGAAAAATAAGTTGCTTCATTTCCCCCTGACCAGACTTGTAGGTTTTCTGTGCTCAAATGACAGCCCAACCTGGAAGGGATTGACCCTCTTCTCGTTGCTTCCTTGCTGCCCTCCCTCCAGGTAAAACTGCTGCTTTTGCCCTGCCCGTCTTGGAGCGTCTGATCTACAAGCCCCGCCAGGCCCCAGTGACCCGCGTGCTGGTGCTGGTCCCCACCCGAGAGCTGGGCATCCAGGTGCACTCTGTCACCAGGCAGCTGGCCCAGTTCTGCAACATCACCACCTGCCTGGCAGTGGGTGAGTTTCTGGCCGAGGGCTGCTGGTCCCCGAGAGACCTCAGTGTGGTAGAGGACGGATGCTTTCCGCCATCTGCGGGTGACGGGCTCCAGGAAAGGCCTTTATGTTGATTGAATCCACTTAAAAACTAGATGATGTTTTCATAATACATAGTGGGGGGGCGGATTTGATTGAGACTTAACCAACCTTGAAAAACGACACCTCAAAATTATGGGAAAAAAGCCTTTCTCAGTTTGCATAAATTTAGGATATTAGCATGAATATCCTAATATCCTTTAGGATATTAGCTTAGCGTGAATAATGAATCAAATATTATTTTGGGCAGAGGTTGCCCTCCCTGTGCAATTGGAAATCAAAAGTGATTTTTGGCCGGGCGTGGTGGCTCACACCTGTAATCCTAGCACTCTGGGAGGCCGAGACGGGTGGATTGCTCAAGGTCAGGAGTTCAAGACCAGCCTGAGCAAGAGCGAGACCCCTGTCTCTACTAAAAATAGAAAGAAATCAGTTGGCCAACTAAAAATACATATAGAAAAAATTAGCTGGGCATGGTGGCACACGCCTATAGTCCCAGCTACTCGGGAGGCTGAGGCAGGAGGATCTCCTGAGCCCAGGAGTTTGAGGTTGCTGTGAGCTAGGCTAACGCCATGGCACTGTAGCATGGGCAACAGAGTGAGACTCTGTCTCAAAAAAAATAATAATAAAGTGATTTTTGTCTCCATATACAGATACTTCATCATTTCCAAAGCTGGCTGCTTCTCTTAGTCCTCAGATGGTTCGATCATTCTATTCTGAAGTGTCTTTGTGTCGCCATCGTTTTTTTTTTGTTGTTTTTTTTTTGAGACAGAGTCTTGCTTTGTTGTCCAGTCTAGAGTGAGTGCCGTGGCATCAGCCTAGCTCACAGCAACCTCAAACTCCTGGGCTCAAGAATCCTTCTGCCTCAGCCTCCCGAGTAGCTGAGGATACAGGCATGCGCCACCATGCCAGCTAATTTTTCTATATATATTAGTTGCCAATTAATTTCTTTCTATTTATAGTAGAGGATGGGGTCTTGCTCTTGCTCAGGCTGGTTTTGAACTCTTGATCTCGAGCAATCCGGCCGCTTCGGCCTCCCAGAGAGCTCGGATTACTGGCGTGAGCCACCGTGCCCAGCCGCCATCGTGTTTTGTTTTCTCACTTAGCACAATTGCAATTTCATAATCTGACTATTCCATTGTGTTGGAATATCCATGAGGGTGGGGCCTTTGTCAGTCTTGTTCTCTGCTGTTCCCTCTGTATCTGGCATGCGGCCTGGCAGGTGGCAGGTATTGGGTTAACGCTGGTGAGTGACAGACCTGGCTCTCTGCAGGTGGCCTGG